AACCTCCGCGGCTAGATCATACTTCAGCCCACCAATAAAGGTCCCAACCAACGCAGTCTCGGGCCAGCCTCGTACGCGACATGCCAATCGCTCGAACTCCTTAAGATAGTAGCGCAAGCTGCCGGTCTGTCGTATGCGGGATAGCGCCTCGTGGTAATTGTGGTAGTCGGATGAGCCGAACGCGTGAGTAACTCGCGCTCGAAATCGTTCCACCTGATGACTTGTCGTCGGCCACGGTAGACGCTTGTAATCCACTGCCACCACACGTTGGCTTCTCCATCAAGATAGTAAGCAGCGTACTTTACCCGATCGTTTCTTTCGATCTCATTCAGCTCGAAATATTGGGCAGCCTGGTTGAGCCATGCATCAAGATCTGCGCTGGTGAAGGTGGATAACACGAGCTTTGGCTTTTCTGGCTTCGGTCGGTCGTGGCGGTTAGACGCCTGGGACCGTCGGTCGAAGTCGTCTTCCTGCTCGTACTCCTCGCGTCGTCGCTCGCGGTCCACGTCTCGCTCGTGCTCATCATGTCGCTGATCCTCGTCGTGTCGCTCACAGTCGTGGCGTCATTCGAGCTCTCGATCCTCGCATCGTCGCGCTTGGTCATCATCATGCTCGCGTTCGCGGCGTCCTTCATGTTCGGGTCGATCGCGATTGGGCCGTCGGGGCGGTGATTGGCGCGCCATCATGTTGCGCGCCATCTCATCAAAACGGCGGTTCATGATCTCCATCAATTCACGAACGGAAGCCTTAGTTGTATCTGTAACACCCCACCTTACTGTAAAATCAGAGTTGCGCAATAATTCGCAAAGTCTTCGAAAATTAAAACATTTTTTTACTTTGCGAAACTGATTCGGGTTGCTACCGTGAAAAATCCTTACTTAACTTAGAAAAACCGTTATTTTAATTTAATAAAAACGTCCGGTTACTGAAAAACTTAATTTCTTAAAAGTTCATCAAACGATGCGTTCGTCAAAAGATAGCAAAAACATCATCATAAGTCATCAAAAGATAAGCGGAAGCGTAAGTCATAAATATATTTATACAGTCCAACACATATATAAATATCCTGAAAGTCCCGTCATGCCCCGTCACGTCACGCTCCCTGTCCGACATCCTGACCTGAAAAACATGAATAAACTGGGGAGTGAGCACTAAGTCACTGTGCTCCGTGGAAACTCATGCTAATGTACAACATCGTAAATAATAACATGATCATGAACTAAGCATATATAACTGAACTGAACTGATATCTGATAACTGATAAAACCGGTCTGATCTCGCG